CGAAAGGGGCGTTGTGGGGTTGCTAATACCTTCCCCACACATAACTAACTCCCTTACCTAACTCTGGTCATAATGGTCAAGTTTGGTTTTTCTTAAAATTAATTTCTTCTTTTTATCCTTTTCCAATGTTTATGGTAAAAACATTGGTGGAGACTCCATAGAACCCTTTTTACGAAAACCTTGCTTTTATTAGAGGTTAGTTCAATTGTTGAGCACCTTAGAAGAAATGATCATATTTCTACAAAAAAGTGAGTCTAATTTATCATATCGCAACCACTCGCATAAACGTTTGAGATGTCCTGAGACGTCGGAACGGACGGGGGCGACAATGATCACTTTCGATTCCCACCAGTTTGATCTTGATTTTTCGTCTTTTCGATATTTCACCATCTCCATCTCAATTTTACCCTTTCGAACCCAATAACCACGATCTCAACTTTTATCTTTTAACTTCAATATTTTTTTCGGCATTCTTTCGATATATTTGTAAATTTGCCAATAACACTTGTGCTTGTTGTTTCTAAGTGATAGCTTTTCTATTGTATTTTGTTAATCACAATTTGTACTACATTTTCTAGATAGGATTTCTAAATCTTGCTTGGTGATAGGGTGTCATTGGTCATGGTAAGAGTTGTTCTTGTAGGATTCAAGAAAACTCTTCTTGAGTAGATAGAGTTCCTACTGGTATAAACTGTGTTTTGTTTTAGTGAAACTCTTAGCTAGTGTGGGCAATGACTAGATGTAGTTCTTGGTATAGAGTGAAATAATATAAATGTTGGTTCTTCTTTCCCTTGCTTCCTAACATTATTGTAATTGTTCTATATTGTTCTTTATTACTTCATGTTGATCTTAGATGCTTGTCTTCCAAATATTTAACCATTTGATTAATAAAGATTCTCATTCTCAGTTAAACAAATAAACATTTTCGAAAATAGTTCCAAGTTCAATTCTTTTTCTCCCTCTTGAACCCAACTTCTTTTTCTAACAATATAATGGGACAACAAACCTAAAAGAAAACATTTGGGCTTATCTCATCCAAATTGAGGTATACTTGACAAAGACTCCTTTAAGTGTGGAATTTTCCCTACTACACTTGGAAGAGTTGTACTCTAATGGTATTACAACTTACTTAAGAAGTTTGTGCATTCTTTTGAAGAATTGACAAGTATATTCAAAGCACGATTTGCGACTAATAAACACCGTGAAGCTTATTTAACAACATTTGAGAATATCAAGTTAAGGTTAAAATGAATCACTATAAAAATTTATGGAAGTATTTGTGGCTATCACTCTCACCATACAAGACTTAGAACTAGTTAAAACAATGCATACCATGATAATCCAGTTGTGCATAGGTCCATTTTTAGATAGTTTGTTATGGAAGACCACATCAAGGCCACAACATACAGAGCCTCAAACAAGGCCTATGATTAAAGGGATAGAAAAGGAAGAGGCCTAAGAGAGCATTCTCCTTCATTGGAGCTTGCATTACTATTATGACTCCTTTGGTAGAATTGTCATTTATGAACATCAAAATATAAATAAAAGTGTGTTATATGGGACTTGGAGAAGGATATGCAAAAATTTGTGTAGAAGGTAGGCTAATGAGTGAGGAGAGGAGTAACATCTAAAAATAGAGCCCTTATGCTTGCATTTTTTCCAACTTATTGAATAAGCATTGAAAAGTTGAATTGCTTATTTATTTGTCCCTGTTAAGGTTCCAACATAAAACCAATTGACAATATGTGGAGTAGCCTAACATGTATTTAAACCATACCAAATGCCATGAGGTAGGCGATGTGAGACTTTCAACACGCCCCCTCCAACGAAGCCTGCCGGACCAGACAAAGGGTACTTTTGACCCAACTAAAGGGCAACTTTTGGCCCATGACAATAACCGGAAAGATGTTAGGTTTTGGCTCTGATATCATGTTAAGGTTCTAACATAAAACCAATTGGCAATATGTGGAGTAGCCTAACATGTATTTAAACCATACCAAATGACATGAGGTAGGCGATGTGAGACTTTCAACAGTCCCCTTTACTTGTCTTTAAGTTCAATTTTGGGAGGATTTTCTCCTAATAAGGAACATTCATTAATTGGAGAACTAGTGCCAAGATCTCTCTTGGGAAAACTTGCAAAATATTTTGAGTTATTTTTTGGAGGCTTAAGGTGGAAGGAGAATATCATTTCCATCAATTTCGGAGGCTCTGATACCAAATTGAGTTGGCAAACTATTACAAGGTTCCAATATAATAAACTTGATTACAATCAAGTATTACACACTATTATTTCTATCTTACAATGAATACAAAATTTCGCTTTTGACACCTTTTAACTTCATCTAAGTTCAATCACAAGTATTATTTATCAGTGAGTTATTCTCTCCAAAATCTAAATAATGAATGATAATATTATTGATAGAGACTTAAGTAACGCTTTTGTTCATGTTGATTGCTTTTTAATTTTTTTTTGCATGGTTTCACCTCTATTTATGGTCTTCATGTAGAGCTAGTTAGTGTGAGACGTAAGACTCAATCTAACTCTAGTTAGTACAACATAATATTTTCAAAGACATGTGACATACCAATAACTATGCCTTCGCATAAGCCTAGAGGGAAAGTTGACACATGACACTATCATCGAAAAATATAATTTTGTGATGTGGATTCGTATGCACAACATAGGACTTTTGATTGATTTGTCTAATGGACCTAACTAATACCACTATTCTACTAATGCACTGCCGTATAGTTGATTACTAACTTGTTTTACTCTTTTTTCATTTAATGGATCAAACTCTTACTTGGGGATTAGAAGTTAGGCCTCTTGGTCACATAACCATATCACCTCATACGACTAGACTACTTGAGCGTAGTAGGCATAAGTGCTTAAAGAGTGGCTCCGTTGGTGATAAACTTAGAGGATGGTGACTAAAATGAAAAAGGATCATAAGAGGATCTTAAAGATAATCAAGAGAAGATGATTGAGCTTTTTGATGATAATAATAAGATGAAAGATTATTTTATAGAGATTCTAGAAAGAGATCTCATATATATATATATATATATATATATATATATATATATATATATATATATATATATATATATATTTCAAATCGGTTTTGAATATTTATTTTAAGATTCAAACATTTTTTTCTCACTAAGTCAATTTGTTTTTACTTCAATATTTTACTTATAAACTTTATTTACTTATCTATGAAAATGAATACATTTATATTTTTAATTTTATTGATTAGTAAAATTTAGTTTATGAAATTGTGCAGAAAAATTTAATGAAGTTGTATTTAATATGGTTAAAAATAATTAAATTAATTATATAAATACATAAGAAATAAAGATAAAATATTTAGTAAACTATGATATGTATTTTTTTTCAATTATTATAATTTTTTTTCTAATTAGGTATTGAATGTTATGAAATAAATAAATAATTTTTATCTTTCATATTTAACTTTTATTTTTAATAGATTTTTATATATGATTATTAAAATATAATTTAATCCTTATATATTAATTAAATTATATTTTACCATAATATAAAAATTTAATTTACATTCGAATGGTGGCGTGTAAAAAGTTATTTGAAATAAAAATTTATTATAAGATATTGAAGTTATTTTTAAAAAGTTTATTTTAATTTGTTTAAATTTTAGGATTAAATTGAAATTTATATACACTTTAAAAAAATTTGACCATTTTACCTTTACTTTTTTTTTTTAATTAAAACTTACAAGTTATAATAGTTATGTTAGATAAATTTTTTGACGAAACTATATAATTTAATTTATATTTTTCATCAATGAATTTAGTTGCTAGTTTAGATGAGTTGATGACTTTTATGCACCTAATACTTTTAAATATTATTAAGTATGCAATTTGTAAGTACTCGTTATATTAAAACCTTACAATTATATTTATGATCCTAATTTATTATTTTCTACTTATATACTTATTTTTATTGACTAGTCATAGTAAACTAATTACGATAAATATTCACATTCATATTCTTTTATTATACAACATATAAATTAATTATTATAATTTTATTTCATTATATATTATTATAAAATATTAAAAAAAATGTATGTGCATCATACGGTTCCCATATTAGTTATTAGAATAAACAGATTTTCTCCAAATATTAATAACAACATCTATATAATTTATAATCAATTCCTCAACAATAAATTTGGTTTAATTGCAAAAATTAATAGGAATGTCCATATTTTCCATTAATGTAATAAGATATTTTTTAATTTAATTAATAATGAGACAACTCATAATATCTTGTATCATTTAAAAATTGTATAATATAAGATGATTGAGGTATTCCATAATACTATTTTGGATATAAAGTAAATTATAATAAAAGAAAAATCTACAAACAAAACCCATTTTCAAAAGAAAAAAAATCATTTTCTTAAACCACATAGCCAAGGAAATCTTGTAACAACCTAAACATGGGGGAACACAATCCAATAATGGATCCAATCCAACACGTCACTGAAAAATAGCATAAAAATCACACAAAACTTCCCTAAAATGTTGCCTGAAGGATAAAGCATAGTCCTAAAACAGTGAAGAACAAGGCCCGATACTTGCTCCAAAACGCACCCCTTTTCCCTCTCACACAAGCCACGTCACGCGCTACACTCTGTAAAGCACAGACATTTATACTTTCACACCAATAGTCAAATGTAAAGCGAATCCCCTTCTTGCTTCCCAGACCCATCAAAAAATCACAACACAAAAATAATAGAAACCCTCACTTTTACTTTACTTCCCTTGCATTCATTGCATTCCGCATTGTTCAGCTCGCCGGTGGTAGCTCCTCCGTTTTCTCCGCTATGTTTTCCACCTCCTACCCTTAGATTCTCCTCTTCGACCTTTCGCTCCTTATTTTTTGTTCTCTTCTATCAGTGTGTGTGTGATTTTTTTTTTTTTTTTCTGGTTTGTTTTTTTGAGGGTACGATATGTACGTGGAGCCTCCGCCCCAGCGTTCGGATCCGGGTGCAGGATCCGGAGATTTGCGGGTCTACCAAGCATGGAAGGGGAGCAATGTGAGTTCCCCTTTGGGGTTTCTATTTGTTATTTAAAGTTTATTCTTTTGGAATTGTTATGAAGCGTGTCACCCCAGCTTTCTGTTGTGTTGATGGTTCTTTATTTAAAATTATCACTTTTTTTTTATTTACTTTGATTGTTTAGTGGCTTTTTTTGTTTTTGGTGGAAATCGGTTTTCTGTTGAGGGGGAAAGTTATTGACTTGGAAGATGAATTTGGCCCAAGGAAGTGCTGAACACCCCGTGCTTTGGTGTTTGAATCTAAGGCCTTGTTTGAAAAAACCTTTTCAGAAATACTTACAAAGAAGGAAAAATGCATTGAGCTCTTTTATAAGCTAAAATAAACTTGTGATCCTGTTTACATCGATTTCTTCATGATCACTTTTAAGCAGAGAAAATAAGAAGAGACAAAGAAATGGGTAAGCATGAGTTAATTTGTAGAAACTCATTCATCTTTGAATCTCTAAAAGATGTATTTTAACTTATGCGTTGATTGATTTCATTTTTCATTTTTATTTTCTTTTTCTATTTATGGATAAATTTATCCAAACAGACCCCATGTACCATAGCTTTTGCTTTGGAGATGCTTGTAAAGAGTTTATATAAAAATTAAACGCATAAGTTGATTTTAGCTTTCTGAAAAAACTCAATTCATTTTACCTTTTTGCTTTTTTCCTACAAGTATTAATAAAAAAATTTATCCAAACAGAACCTATAACATTTTGAGAAAGCATAATACAATGAGTTTATGACAAGGATGAGTAGAAAGTAGTTGCTGGTTACTTTCTAAGATGCTATATTAAATTTAGGTTTAACCCTTGCACTGAAATTTGACAGTACTGACTGGCATATACATTATTTGTATGACTAATTCTTTGTTGTGATATAGAACTGCTAGTAGTTTATATCTTGTATTCGCCTTTCATAACTTGTCTTTTCCACAGAACCCCAAAAGAATAGTACTATGTTACTGGCTAATGCTGCAATTTTATTGCTGTTGTTCTAGTGGTTTTGATTATGTTAAAATGCATATTCATTGTTTTCATCCATTTCCTGCAGAAATTTTTTCTTCAGGGCAGGTTCATATTTGGACCAGATGCAAGATCATTGGCCCTGACGATTTTTCTTATTGCTGCTCCTGTTGCAGTTTTCTGTGTCTATGTTGCCAGAAAACTAATAAATGATTTTTCTGATCACTTGGGGATGACCATAATGGCGATTGCAGTTATATTCACAATTTATGTAAGACTCTCTCTTTCATATACATACAAACGCACACCATGCATACAATTTTGTTCTTTGACCATAAATTTTTCAACTGTATTGATTTGGCACTTTGTTAATAATCTTGAGAAGCATATCTCTATGTTGCAACTTACACATGCTTGTTTGAAGTAAGCTAGAAGTTGGAATTTGGTTTACTTTTAATTTCTGAATGGAATTCAATTTGGCTGATGTCCCTTTTCTCATCTGCTTATTTGAAATATGACTTAAAGAAAACTAGCCATGACCATAATGAATCTAGTATGATCAAACTAGTGCAACTAAAATAATTTGCTCTTGGGTATAAAAGGGAATCAAGACCATGCCAATTATTATGCGTTGTCATTTTGTTAAATTAGAGAAAATGTTCTATTTGAATGGGAAGCAGATATTGTGAAGAGAAGTTTGATCAGAAATCCTCCTTCTTTAACTAACTGATAAGATAATTCAAATAAAGTTCAAGCGCACCTGCAAGCACTTTACTGTGAAGCTGTAAGAGAGTCAGTCTAGAAACTGGCCATCTTGACGTGAATACAATTTTTTCCTTATCAGTTATGATGATTTCTCATTTAGTATCCGAGTTTGGTTCTAACTACAGATGCCAAATTTCATCATATATATCATTCAGCTATAGAACAGTATTGTCCTTGCTTTTGTCAAATTAAGGTGTATTCTACAATGAAGGGGATGGAAAGTACATGGTCGTTACATTTGGTGAAGAGGGAATAATAGGAACAAGGAATGTTCAGCTGGCACCAAATATTGGGAGAAGGGAATGATTCTTAGAAATAAAATATAGGAGGAAAGGGTAGAAGCGAGGCCTGGCAGAAATTGAGGGGAAATGTGTGGAAGGTTTGCAGATCCTTTGAACCACTTGCTGCATATTTTCTTTTGTTCAAACTTCAAAAGTGTGTGACAACAGGATTAAACATAATTGCTACCATCTTTTCCCGGAGTGATATAATGATATGGTGCCCCCTATTACAAAGTTTTATGAGTGAAAAATTAAGGGAAATTGGAGTGAAGCTATTTGAGTCAGTTAAAATTTGTTAGGAGTTAGTAGTTATCATGTCTGCAAAGTTAGTTAAGAGTAGTTAGGAGTAAGAGAGGTTTGTATATAGAAAAGGAGAAAGAGGCTGGAGGAAGGCAGGCAGGAAATATATTGTTGGGAAGATTCTGGCCCGTGGAAGAACCAGAGATATTCTTTTCTGTAATATCTTACATTTCGGAAATAACACTGTTTCATTCTTTCTTACTTCTGGAAATTCATTCTTTTTGTTAGTTTCTGATCCAGTTTCTATAATGTAACCTAACATCAATTCCATAAGAAATTCAGAGCGGAAAATTCATGAGGGGAATACTTATCGTCGGATATACATCAGGTTCCATGGTTCACCGAACACAATATGTGTCTCCATATGCTCTTCTGCTCTGCATTGTAAATGTGCTGTTGTTTCTGAATTAGAAGTTAGAACAGCACAATGTACAACCATTATCAGTGGTGGAAAACAACATCCATCCATGTATCCACAAGCTATTTTGGATGAAAGGATGAAAGAGAGTACCAAAGAAGGATGAAAGGACATGTTTAGACTACGACATGATATAGACTTTTCAGAATACATAAAAAACAGCTTTTATACAGCTTTATGCTTTACAAGACTATTTTCTTGACAAAAGATGGAATTAATCTTTTTGTAACTCTCTCCCTCAAGATTGAGTGTACAAATCAAATGTACCAAGCTTAGGACAAATTAATTGAATTCTTGGACTTTTTAATGACTTTGTTAGTTCATTTACTAGTTGATCATTCAAGCTGACTGATTCAATAATACTCTCTTGGACAACACTTTTTCAGTTCCTTTGGTGAAATAAGAGATAGTGCGAAGGGCTGCTTGATTATCACAACATATAGTCTCATTTGCTGAACTTTATTAAAATTTAACTCTCGAAGAAATTGTTTGATCCTAACAAGCTCACGAGTAGTCACGGCTATACTTTGTTTGTTGCCCTTCCAAAAGACAACATCTCCAATGGATGCACAGTACCCAATTGTTCAGTGCCAATCAGTAGTGGTTCTTGTCCAATCTGCCCTATCTTTATACAACAATCCTCACTTGGAGCCTTTTTATCTGAGAATGTGGTTCACTGCATGCCAATTATAAATCTAAACAGCTTGCTTCAACTGACTAAATAGCCCAACTGCAAAAGAAATGTTAAGTCTAGTGATCACTAACAATTACTAACGTTTCTCCCTCAAACACTTTGTAATTCACAAAATGAATATCTGGACAACTGGACCAAGGCCTTGGTGAATATGCCTGCAGACTAAACTAATAATACATTTTTTTACCAATTTGTTTGAAAAAGGAAACATTTTTCTATACATTTAAATTCTTTCTTTTACTGCATGTATTTCTAGCTGATAACATGGTATGGTTTTTCACAGCCTTCGAATTTTATGTGCTGGCTAATTATCATTTGGGCACTGATACACAATTTTATTTTGGATGGCATTATGCATTTTCTGTACTGAGCTCTGAAGTATATATTCTTTCATACTGTGTGCTGATGATATAATCATTTTTAGGTGTTAGTTCTTCTCTTATTAACATCTGGCCGAGACCCTGGCATAATTCCACGCAATGCACATCCTCCAGAGCCTGAAGGTTTTGAAGGTAGTTTAGATGTTGGGGCTGGTCAAACTCCTCAGTTGCGATTGCCCCGCATTAAGGAAGTTGAGGTCAACGGAATTACTGTTAAGGTCAAGTACTGTGATACTTGCATGCTCTACAGACCTCCTCGATGTTCTCACTGCTCAATCTGTAATAACTGTGTGGAACGGTTTGATCACCACTGTCCATGGGTTGGGCAGTGCATTGGGCTGGTAAGTTTGACCTTTTGTTTGACAAAGTTGATTTTTAAATCTAAATCCAGTCTGCAGAATTTTCTGTCAGGCAGAAAGTTTAGCTTGGTATTTGGGATCAGTAGAATCTAATAGTTGTGAGATTTAAAGAGATGGGTGATCTCTATTTTCAGATTGGAAATTATTGAGATAGTTAAAGTTTTGTACATGAGCTGTGCTGGAAATTCTTGCACGTCCTAGTAATTTAATAATTATCAACACTTGTATTTTCAAAATTTAGTTTAGACCCTGTCGGTATGAATTTGAACCTAAAATTCATCGAAAGTAGGTTATATGGTTATATTACTATTACTTTCCTGTTTATTATATTTGGCAATACATAATAAAATGTGAAGTTGTAGAACAGTCAACAGTCCAGCTTATAAATTGAGACCTAGTGGATGATGGGTATATATTGTCAGCAGGGTGAATTTTGTTATGAAAATTTTCCTTTCAAATGTATCACTAAGAGTTTCATTGCTTTCATACATAATATGATCATTCTTTATAGTTAACTTTGGAGCATTTTCTGAAATTCATATAGGAAATCTAGGGTCAATCCTTGTTGCGTACGCAATTCAATTATGCTTATCTTCCAGTTAAAACACACCCCTTCCCCCAACAATGCTTTGTTCTACTGCTGGAACTCTTTGCTTATCGAAAATTTTCAAAATTTAGGTTGCATTGAATTTAGAGTTAATATAAAAGATGTGTGTTTTAATATACTGAACTTCATTTTCCTTGTTTTTATTTGAGGATTCTTTATTACCTTTTATTTATCCTCCTCTCAATTATATATATAATTCTGGTTTGGTGATTTTTTCAGTTGTCATTCTTGAATATGTTATGTATCTGAATGTTTGCACAATTTGTCATATGCAGCGTAATTATCGCTTCTTCTTCATGTTTGTCTTCTCAACTACACTACTTTGTATATATGTTTTCGCATTTTGTTGGGTCTATATTAGAAGAATTATGGCATCAGAGGAGACAACTATTTGGAAGGCAATGATCAAAACCCCAGCCTCCATAGTGTTAATAATATACACCTTCATATCAATGTGGTTTGTTGGTGGCCTGACTGCCTTTCATTTATATCTTATAAGTACAAATCAGGTAATCACTTCTTCTTGAAATCTTTGTATATACTTTAAAATTAAGCTATCTATTCAAATGAACTTACAACGTTATATTTGTGTCTATTGCTGTTACAGACCACATATGAGAACTTCAGATACCGATATGATCGACGGGCCAACCCGTATAACAAGGGAGTAATCAATAATTTCTTAGAGATATTCTTCACCAGCATTCCCCAATCAAAGAACAATTTCAGGGCAAAGGTGCTGTTAGAATATATGAATATGGCATATCATCTTTTAGATTATCCTCTAAATTTGGTTTCCTTATTTCCTAATTATATCATAGCATTGGTTACTGTATTTTCCTTATATCGATTTGTTTCCCTACTTTAAGTTTTATAATAACATCCCTTAGTATAAATAAGGGTTAGTGTCTATAAGTTTTATAATAACATCAATACATTGTTATCTGCTTATTTCAGTTAATAGTCCGTGGTTCATCTTTTATCTCTCCTCCTCACTATATATATAAAACTATATAATTTTAACATGGTATTAGAGTGTTCTGAGACATGTCCAGTCACTATTCCTCTGCAGAGATCCTCCTCCTCGTCCCCAAAGTAGTTACCTATGAAGTGTCATCCTTTTTTTGACATTTTTCTCTGTTTTGCAATAATTAGCACTACTGGTCTAGTTCTTTTTAAAACAGAAGAAGCCCAATACTTTCTTGGTCCAATCTATTTCCCATTCTTCAGCATTCTCTTAATTTTCTTTCTGTTATTTTTGCTGTAAATATCAGTAGATTCTAGAATGTATTAGATGTATTTTGTAGCAATATTTCTTTATTCCTTTATTTGTTTTTTTGTCCTTTCTGCTGTCCTTATTGGTGATCATCCAATAAGGGTCATATCTTGTATATATATTTGGTATGGTTTAAATACATGTTACGCTACTCCACATATTGCCAATTGGTTTTATGTTGGAACCTTAACATGATATCAGAGCGGGTTCATCCCGCTCTGCCTGTCTCTGTTTTTCTTCTGGCATTAATCGCCGTTCACCGCCGTCCACTGCCGTCCACCGCCGGTGCTGTCTTCTCCGGCGCCTTTTTCCTCTCTGACACTTGGGTTTGGCTCGCCTCGAGGAGCGTGACCCAACCCCAGTGTTCGCTTCCTCTATCTCTGCCTCACACGCCGCCACGCGCCACCCTCGTCCGTGGCTTCCTCCGTGCGTGGGCCTCACGCGCCGCCCTCTCGGTGGCTGTTTTGCTCCAGGCCACCTCTATTCGGCTCGCCTCGTCGCCCTGGTGCCAGATCTGCACTTTGTTTTGTGTTCTCGGTCACAAAACGTGGTGGATCTGCGTTTTTCTCTCTGCCTCTCTCGGTCCTCTCTCTGACAGCACGCTGGTCTTTTCGTGTTTCCTGTAAAATGTCAGGACCTTTGTCTGTATCTTTTTTTGGGACTCCGACTATAACCACAGAAAAATTAAATGGAAAAAATTATTTGTCTTGGGCTTCCTCTATTGAGCTCTGGTTTCTAGGTCAAGGAGTTCATGATCATCTAGAAGAAGATGGAAGTACTATAACAGCAGATCAGGCTCCTCAATGGAAGAAACTGGATTATCAACTTTGTGCACTATTATGGCAATCTGTTGAACCACATATTTTGAGCACTCTTCGAGCCTTCAAGACATGTAATTCTTTTTGGAAAAAGGCTCAAAATATCTTTGCTAACGATATTCAACGACTTTATGATTCTGCTAATAGACTAGCCTCCCTTAAGCAAGAGGATAATTCCATGATGTCCTTTGTTGCTGAAGTTCAGTCAGCTGTTGAAGAATTAAAAATGTTCCTGGAGGCAGAATCATCATTAGAAGAAAGGAAGACGAAGCTGGATAAATTCTATATGGTAATGATTCTTAGGGCTATGAATCCAGAGTTTAATCATGTTAGAGACCAGATTCTAACTGGAGAAGAAGTTCCTTCTACGGAGAGTTTAATCACAAGGCTACTTCGTGTTCCTTCTATCAAAAGCAAAAACAGTCAGGAACTTGCTGATTCTTCCGCCATAATTTCTGCTCGTGGAAGAGGTAATCACAGCTCTAGAGGACGTGGTGGGAAAGGACGTGGTGGGAAAGGACGTCATCAGTGCTCTCATTGCAAAAGAATGGGACATACTAAGGAAAATTGTTTTGCTCTGCACGACTTTCCTGGTAAGGCAGCTAATATCTCAAAATCTGAAGTTGATGAGCCCAAGTTCTCTCATGAAGAGTATCAAGAATATTTAAGGATGAAATCAACCAATTTGGCTCAAGCATCTACAACACCAAATTCGTCAACCGCTTGCATTTCACAATCTGTGGAAAGTCAAAATCCATGGATTATTGACTCAGGTGCTTCTGACCATATGTCTGGTAATACCTCTTTATTTTCCTCTCTTTCATTTCCTAAAACATCCCATCTCATATCTTTAGCTAATGGATCTAAAGTAGCCTCTAAAGGAATTGGTCAAGTATCCATCTCTTCTTCTTTAAACCTTCAAAATGTTCTTTGTGTTCCTTCTTTTCCATTCAGTCTTGTTTCTGTAAGCCAATTAACCAAATCATTGAATTGCTCAGTAACCTTTAATGCCAATTGTTTTGTTATCCAGGAACGTGGTACGGGTCGACTGATTGGAGAAGGAGGCTTATACTACCTTAGGACTAAGTCATCTGTATCTTGTGTTGCGTCCTTATACCCAAAACTGTTACATGAGCGATTAGGGCATCCTCATTTAGCAAAATTGAAAAAAATGGTTCCTGAACTTCAGAACCTTCAAACTCTTGAATGTGAATCCTGTCAACTAGGGAAACATACCAGGTCATCCTTTCCAAATCATTCTGAATCTAGATGTGATTCTACTTTTAGTATTGTTCATTCAGATATATGGGGACCTAGTCGTGTTTCATCTTTTGGTTTTAGATATTTTGTTACTTTTATTGATGGGTTTTCTAGATGTACTTGGGTTTATCTTATGAAAGATCGTTCTGAACTATTGCCTATCTAGTGAAAACACCCAAATAGTGGTTGTTCTTCTAATTCTTCCTTTGTCAACTACACCGTTACCATTGATGATCAAGCCTCTCTGCAACAATATTCTGTGGAGCAACAACATGGATCGGGTCTTAATTTTACTCAAGCCCAATATTAACACTTATTGTCTCTACTTCAACAAGCCTCGGGTGTTTCCAACAATAGTGAACCTCAGCCTTCAGTCAACCTCATCCAGAAAGGCCCAAATAATTTTTTTGGGCCCAATGGTAACATGTCCTTTATCTCTTCCATTATCAATTTTCATGCTCTTTCTTTTAATTCATTAAATAATTCCTCTTCTTGGATTGTTGACTCTGGAGCCACTGACCACTTGCTCTCCAAAATTTTCAAGTGTTTTCTAAAATAAAACCCATTAGTATTCATTTACCCAATGACTCTATAGTCACTTCTCATTATTTTGGCATTGTCCATTTTGCTTCAGATTTTATAATTCATAATGTGCTTTATGTCCCAGATTTTAGTTTTAATCTTTTCTCCATTTCAAAGTTTCTCTCAAGTCATAATCATAAATTAACCTTTTCCGGCCTTCTTTGCCAAATACAGGAAGTGAGCACATTGAGGATGGTTGGTTTGGCTAAGTTACAACAAGGTCTCTATCACCTAGTTACTCAAGATAATTCCAACATCACTCATATCTCTTTTGTCAGCCATCTTTCCCTCTCTACCACAACAACAACAACCTTTGGCATTTTCGTTTGGGACACTTGTCAGACAAAAAACTCAATGTTTTACATGAGCAATTCCCTTTTATTTCAAAGAATACTAATGAACCATGTGACATTTGTCACTTAGCTAAACAAAAACAATTGTCCTATTCTGTTAGTGATAGTAAAGCTTCAAAAATATTTGATCTCATTCACATGGATATTTGGGGCCCATTTTCTAAAGTTTATATTCATGGCCATAAATATTTTCTAACAATTGTTGATGATTTTAGTAGATTTACTTGGGTTGTTTTGTTAAAAACAAAGGCGGATGTCCAAATAAATGTTCAAAACTTCATTGCCTTAGTTGAAACACAATTTGACTCCAAAGTAAAAATACTTCGTTCTGACAATGGTCCTGAATTTTCCTTAAAGAATTTTTATGCCTCCAAAGGTATTATTCACCAAACAAGTTGTCCTTACACACCTCAACAAAATGGTAGAGTTGAGCGTAAACACCAACACATTCTCAATGTTGCCCGTGCTCTTATGTTTCAATCTGAGATTCCAAATAATTTCTGGTCCTATGCCATTAAACATGCTATTTTTCTCATAAACCGGGTTCCCTCACCCGTTATAAAAAATAAAACACCATTTGAATTATTGTTTCATCAAAAACCAGATTTTTCCATTATCAAAGTTTTTGGATCCCTTTGTTATGCTTCCACTCATCATCCTTGCAAGAAATTTGATCCATTATCTTGACGTGGTGTATTTCTAGGTTTTCAGAATGGAACAAAAGGGTACATTATTTTGGATTTAGATTCCAAAGAAATTTTTTTGTCAAGAAATGTCATATTTCATGAAACCATCCTTCCTTTCAAGAAGCCCAATAATGTGTCTCCTAACACCACACCACCTCTTCCTGCAACACCATCCATCCCCTTTTTCAAATGCAGCCACCCTCATGTAGACCCAATTTTCCTAGATCCCTTACCTTCTTGGCCCAATCCATCCACCCTACATGACAATTTCCCAGCACTAAATACGTCATCCCCTCTGTCCTCATCCAACCCGACATCACCCACCACACATCCCACCTCACCTGGTTTATCCACGACCAGCAACAATAACCCAATCCATTCTCCCATTCAATCCATTCCCCCACTTCGTCGTTCCACTCGCATCCCTCAACCATCTACTCGTCTTCGTGACTTTGTCTACAACACCTTCAGTATTTCACCAGATCAGCCATCTTCCAAGTATGCTCATCCCATTCAACAGGTAATTTCTTATTCTCAGTTACCTTCTCCTGATCACAAATTTGTCACGTCCCTTTTCTCTGAGACTGAACCTACTGCTTACAAAGAGGCTGTTCAAAACCCCTGTTGGATTAAGGCCATGAAAGCTGAAATTGATGCTCTGAATTTAAATCAGACCTGGGACATTGTTGTGCCTCCTCCTAATGTTAAACCCATCGGATGTAAATGGTTTTACAAAATCAAGCGCAAAGCTGATGGCAGTATTGAACGTTACAAAGCGTGGCTTGTTGCAAAAGGGTTTTCTCAAATTAAAGGTATTGATTACATGGAGACCTTATCCCCCGTGGCAAAGATAACCACCATCCGTGTTGTCCTGGCTTTGGCTTCAATCAATCGATGGCATTTGTAGCAATTAGATATTAACAATGCCTTCTTGCACGGTGATTTAACAGAAGATGTTTACATGACCATCACTCTTGGCATTCATGGCTATTCTAGCTCACATTGTTGCAAACTTCGCAAATCTTTATAGGGCCTCAAGCAAGCTAGTCGTTGTTGGTATGAGAAACTTTCTCTTCTTCCTTTGTCTTGTGGATATCAGCAGGCATAGGCAGATTATAGCCTTTTTACCAAACATAATGACACTGATTTTACAGCTTTGATAGTGTATGTTGATGATATAGTGTTGGGTGGTAATTGCTTACGTGAAATTGACATTGTTAAGCAGATCCTAAATTCTAATTTTCACATAAAGGATTTAGGGCCTCTTAAGTATTTCTTGGGTTTGGAAGTGAATATCTCAGATGTTGGAATTTCTGTTTGTCAACAAAAGTATTGCTTAGATTTGTTGTCTGATTTCGGTATGTTGGGGTGTAAATCATCTGCCACTCCAATGGATTACTCCCTCCATCTTCACAAAGATTCCAACACACCACTGTCTGATCCTCTTTCTTACAGACGGTTGATTGACCGATTATTATATCTCACAAACATATGTGCCCAAACATTGCTTTTCCTGTCTAGCAATTAAGCCAATTTATGGCTAGCCCAACCCAATCTCATCTCCAGGCTGCCATGCGGGTTCTTAAATATCTTAAAGGTTGTCCTAGCAAAGGCCTTATGTTTAGATGTGATTCTCCAGTTCATGTTTTGGGTTTTAGTGACGCAGATTGGGCTACTTGCATTGATTCTCGTCGATCAGTTACAGGATATTACCTCTTCATTGGCAGCTCTTTGGTCTCTTGGAAAACCAAGAAACAACACGGTTTCCAGATCTTCTTCTGAAGCTGAGTATAAGGCACTCGCTTCCACTACGTGAGTTACAATGGCTTGTTTATTTACTATCTGATTTAGGGATTTCCTATTCAAGGCAACCAATCTTGAATTGTGATAATCAAAGCGCTCTTCATATTGCTGCTAATCCAGCCTTCCACGAGTGCACCAAGCATTTGGAGAAAGTTCAATCAGGTCTTATGCGATTGCTACCTGTTTTTTCCTCTGTTGAAAGTCCCACATCGCCTACCTCATATCATTTGGTATGGTTTAAATACATGTTAGGCTACTCCACATATTGCCAATTGGTTTTATGTTGGAACCTTAACATGGTATCAGAGCCAAAGCCTAACATATTTCCGGTTATTGTCATGGGCCAAAAGTTGCCCTTTAGTTTGGTCAAAAGTACCCTTTGCCTGGTCCGGCGGGCTTCGTTGGAGGGGGTGTGTTGAAAGTCCCACATCGCCTACCTCATATCATTTGGTATGGTTTAAATACATGTTAGGCTACTCCACATATTGCCAATTGGTTTTATGTTGGAACCTTAACATCCTCCAACCAGCTTGCTGACATGTTTACCAAGGCTCTTCCTCCTCGCCTATTCACTGCCAATTTATCCAAGCTGAAGTTGCTTGACATTCATACACCTTTACCCTTGGGGGGGGGGGGGTGGTAAAACAGAAGAAACCCAATACTCTCTTGGCCCAATCTATTTCCCATTCTTCAGCATTCTCTTAATTTTCTTTCTGTTATTTTTGCTCTAAAAATCAATAGATTCTAGAATGTATTAGATGTATTTTGTAGCAATATTTCGTTATTACTTTATTTGTTTTTTTGTCCTTTCTGCTGTCCTTATTGGTGATCATTCAATAAGGGTCATATCTTGTATATATATTACCCACATTGGGATAATCAGAACAACAGAATATTACATCATATTTCTTTGTCCTGCACGCCTTTACTTTTTCCTTCTACTTTTCTCAGAGGTTTCTGCTTTGGTTTTATCCTTTTGGTCTGTAGGGTTAAATATATAATCTTAGTTGTTACATATGAAGGCCCACTTAATATTGAAGAAAATGAGGATATCAGGCCCAAAAGACAAATCCACAAAACTAAAGGGATTCCAGGATTTATTTATTATTAGTGAATGTTGATTTGCATGTGTCAGCATATTCTAGATGTTGATTTACCCGTAGTGAGGTCATGGACCATACATGTTGATTGTTAGAATCCGTTCTGTTATATATCTATTTGTGCGGAGAATATTTTTACCCTCAATTCCTTTCTTGATATTTTCTCTAGGAGGCTGCCTGTCCTCTAACTCAAAGCAACTTTATTTTTTTTCCTAATACTGGTGCTTTCATTGTGACTCACCCATGGCTGACGGGACCCACTCCAAAACCCAATCTGAGAAATTGGACGAAATGCTCCATCAACTCTCCTTTTTTTCAAGATTATGTTAATACCCAATTCCAGAACGGGGGTCTTCGCCTTTCTGCCCTCGAATCGAATGCTTGTGCCCCATATTGTTGATGCTAATTTCACCCTATTCACGATTGCCCTCTTTGACTCAAATTGTTTATGGTGAGATTGGAGACATCAATTTGGTCACATGCCTTACTGAGAGATATGAGCTTGATCCCAGTTGAGTCTGGTCCCTTAATTCTGCAGTCTCTTTTATATTTTTTTATATTCCCTTTTGTCCTTGAAGACTAGATTTATAACAAGTTCAAAGCTTACTAATAAGCTTTAGCTTGAGATGGAGTGTTGAATATACAAAAATATCTCATCATTGAATATCTTAGATTATGTTCTAGGTTAGTTTCCTTGTTTCCTCATTATTATCTTTAGCATTGATTACCATATTTTCTTATCTTACTGTCTCCCTTCTTCTCTTTATACCTATAATTTCAACAGGTGCCATTGGAACCAGTATTACCTGCTAGATCAGTGGGTGGAGGCTTTATGAGCCCGAGTATGGGAAAAGCTGTGGATGACATAGAGATGGGCAGGAAAACCGTCTGGGCTGACATGGGTACAGCTCTTGATCCTTCTGAAGGTCAATTAAACGACCGCTTGGCTATAAAGGATGGTGAATTCGGTGAGGTGTCCCCAGAAATCAGGACAACAGTAGATGAATCAAGTGATCGTGCTGGAATACATCCCAGGAGATCCAGCTGGGGAAGAAAAAGTGGCAGCTGGGAAATGTCCCCAGAAGTTCTTGCTTTGGCAGCCAGGGTTGGGGAATCAAATAGAATGGGTGGAGGAGGTAGCAGCAGTTTGACCAGTGAGAACAGGCACACATAGCCACTGAAATTCATAGTCTGGCAAAGGATTTTATTTGTTGTAATTAAAAGATATATTACATTTCTGATGTGGTAATTCAACAGCAAAATTAATTGTATCTGCAATGTGGGGTTGGTTAAGGGCTTTGGAGGGTGTTTGTTAGTGTTGTTTTAGTCATTTGCCATTGTGCTTCTAGGAAGGAATTGTTGTGTTGTTGTGAGTGAGCTTTTCCTTTGCCTCTGTATTGTATCATACTCTTACCAATTAACTATCAAACTTTTTCTATATAAAAAGTGAGGCAAATGGATAAAATTACAATTTTAGCCTTTTCTGTTTTTCTGTAGTTGATTTAGTCATTTTCTTTCCAGGTATTTTAGCCATATTAGAAATTACTTATTTATGATTTAATAAATAAAATAAATATATTGATATCAATAAATAAGTTTGTTTCAATATATTACACTTATTATTTCATAATTTTAATGAAACATTTATAATATGTTGGAAATTTTAAATTTTAAAAAATAATTGATAAATAAAAATTACTTGATATCTTTCATAGATTTAAAAAAATATTTAAATTTTAAATTTTTTTAAATTATAATAATTTTTAATAATCAAATCAATATATTCCATTTTAATTTTATAATAAAAAATATCCAATTTTAATAAAGTCCCTATAACAGTTTTAGAGCTTTAAAGAAAGCATTTGTAATTAGTTTAAAATAATGACATCTTCATGTGAATAACATGAATACTTTATTTGATGATAAAAGATAAAAAATAAAAAATATATATTTTTTCCTTTGTTTTTGTTTTAATTGACATGTTTTTTAATTTAAGAAATTTTTTTCTTTTGTTTCTATTGATATGCTTAAGTAACTTTATTTTTATTATAAAAATTTAAAATAAAATGAACAAATCTAGTTATATAAATGTTTTAAAGTTTTATTTATTTTTTTAGGAGGTTAAATATTATATATAGGCTTAAGTGAGTGTAATATAAAATTAGTTATCGAGATTGGAGACTTATCATAATAATCATGTTTAGATTGCATAGATGTGCAATTTATTAATAAAGAGTTAAAAAATTTAACTCTACCGGATATAAAAAAAATGTGATATAAGCTATCAAAATTAGACTATTTTAAATTATCACATATAATTTACATGAAGAATAAACTAATATACATGCTGAATTAGATTATAATTTTATATTATAATTTAAACCCTGTAAAATTTTGATAACAAATAAATACAACTTTTATATATATATATATATATATATATATATATATATATATATATATATATATATATATATATATATATATATATATATATATATTGAGAGAGAGAAAGAGGGAGAATAGTAAAATTTAGAGATTTAGGACTTGTTTATTTAGTGTTTTTAAAAATAATTTTTAATTTTGTAGTTTTTAAAAACTAAGAAATTTGACAATTATTTTGTTAAATAATTTTTAAAAACTTTTTTTTAGTTTTTTAAAATTAAAAACCAAAATAAATAAAAATTATTTTTTAATTTTATTAATTAATGACATCAATACTTTTACTAATAATTATATTAAATTTCATTTTTTTCAGATTTTTTGTGGTAGTCTATATTTTTTTTTGTTTAAAATAATTTTAAAAGTAATTTTTTAAAATTGATCTTTGAAACTATTTTAAAAATTGATGAAAATTTTCCATGGAATGTGATGAAATTTTACAATAAAATCATAGAATATAAGGGAGATATAAATCTTATTTTATAAACTGGTAGGTTGAATTAAACACATCTTTATTTATAATAAAAACTAAAAAATAAAATTAATTCAATCACACTTTTATCTTCACCGTTTTTATTTTATAATACAATGATTAATATTAATATTAATATTAATATTATTATTATTATTATTATTATTATTATTATTATTATTATTATTATTATTATTATAATAATAATAGACCTGAGAGTTTCGTGCATTTTTTGGAACAGTGAAAAGGTTATGGAAAGATGTTAAAAAACAGTGTTCTTTAGTTTCAAGTTTCAATTCTGTTTTTTTTTTTTTTTCTGTTATAGATATGACTTTTGAAAATCAATTGTTGTAACTTTTCAAACCTAAAAGTGATATTTTTATTTCAAGCATGCTACACTCATTGTGCAGAGTTTGAAAGGTATGTTATTTACTGTGGGACATAAATATAATGCATTACCAAAGTGGCTTAGAAGTAAGTTTGCTAAAGTATGAGTTTGGAAACATATTAATTGAAAGTATAATTACAGCACAGGGAAACCAACATAGCCAGATCTGATTCATTACAAATTGTTACATGGAGTTATACAGGTTCTACTAAACACAAATATTGGATTTTTCAAGGCAAAATCGATTGTGGAATAATGATGTTTCCAATGTTGTTGTGCCATGGGTCAGCCAAGTGAGTAGCCAAGTTCTCCAAAGGTCCAGTTCCAGGATAAGCTGATTGTTGAACACAGAATCCCACAAAAGCCAACAAGGCAAGACGTCCTAAACATCGGACATATAACAGATATTAGGTCAATTTTATGTGACAACAAAAGAGTAGAGTATCTCAAATAGTATATATCTGATGTTATGACTTAGGGGTCCTTACCATTCTTAATTTCTTTGACTTTGTATTCATGAAATGTTTTTGGGTCCTTAGAGTATCCCAAAGGATCAAAAGCACCACCAGGGTATTTCTTCTTCTCTGGGTCTTTCTCCATGCTCCTTTGGTGCTCCACAAAGGAAATAGCAAGGAATTCAATGACCAGAATGGTGGGTAGGGTGCCCCATGGAACTGGGTTGCCTAGGTAGGTGGCTTGGCCCCCAGGAACTGCAGCCCATTCCTGAGCCTTTACCCAATTTCCTAAGCCCAATGCCTCTGGAACCAAAATCCCTGGCTGCAACAGAATGTAAGAAATTTCAGCATACTATATTTTTTCTTTTGAAACATTGGGGACAACCAACAAGAATAGAAATGTTAATAACAATGTCTGATACACTGTTCTCAATCAGTCACATTATAGAACATTCATGATGTTATTTATATGACAGTAATCATAAGAATCCACAAACTTTTATATCTATAATAATTTGTAATTAACTGGAAGTGTAAATACATGCATCATTTATTCATACAGTGTAATATAGAATCACTTGAGTGAAACTATCTGTAAAACATTTAGGATAGTAAACATTTAAAAAGGACTAAATGCATGTTTCTGCTAGTATCTTAGAAAAGAGATAACAAAACCATTATTTCAAAAGAGAAACTTACAACAGCAAGCATAGCCCATCTGCAGTGAATGAGTTCTGACTCTTTGAACCTCTCAAGATTCTCTGGTACTTCGCCAAGACGAAGAGGGTCGAATCCAAAGTCACTGAATCAAAAGAAAGAGCATAAAGTGTCTTATGCATTAATCCACATCAAAACAAAACCAACTAAGCATTCAAAATCACTAATATGCCATTGCCACACCAAAGTGATTTATTTTCACTGTCAATCTCTATTTAAATTTCTTTCACTTAATTTTTACATTTAATAAAAGCATTGTACTTTCAAATCTGTTTTTGATTTCTAAAAGTAAATTTAAATAACCAATCCTGTATTTCTCAAATTTAAAAGACTATGCTTTTTTAAAAATTTGAGAAACTAAACCATACACATAAAAACTTCAGAGTAAAATATATAGGTAAGAAAACTCAAACGCCCACACTTTTAAGAACAAAAACACGTTTAAAGTTAAGATTATTGCACAAAACAAAAAGGAGAGAATTTGTGACATACCCTGGTGCTGAACCATCAAGGTAAGGGGGTCTAGGTTGGCCAGGCATCCAGTCTGCAGTCATGGAAAACCTAGAAGAAGCATTGACACCAAAGCTGGAAATGGGGACTGCAGAGGCAAACCTTGATTTTGAGGAAGAAAGGAGAGAAGGGAAGGCTGTGACAGCAGAACTCATCAATGTATTGGCAGCCATTCTTTGACTCTGAAAGAGTTCTGAGAATTGGTGATGAGTGTGGGAATTGTGGGAATGGCAGTGTTGGAATGAATACAAGAGTGATGAATATAGGATAGTGGTGTGGATATAGGCAAATCCAAAAGTGGATTACCATTGGGTGATGATGTTGGGGTGTGAGATTTGATAGGTCCACGTTGGTGCTTGGTAATCCACTTTGATTCATGAGGTGGAATCACTAGTGGATATTAGGCAGGGGTGTGTGTGGTGGAGGTCACATGTCAGATATGCAAAAATCAGTGAGATTGGCTCTGGTTGAAATGGGTTTGTGAAGGGTGATTTAAAAATTGAAGAAATAAAACTCGTGGTTTGTTGTGAGTGTGACAAAATTGTATATCTCTGTATGTTTTGTTTTGTTACGCTTTTTGCTTGAGAAAGGGTGAAGAAGGTACTTCTTAATTTATTAAAGAAAATAAGAATAACGTAAAAATATGTTGTATTTTTCCTATGGAAGAAATTTCTCGACTTTTTTTAATATATTATTTTATATTCTTATTTACTTAGATAATCTATCTCTCAAATTAGATTATGTTTTTAGTAGACCTATTGTTAATTTTTTTATTCTCTTTATAAAATATTATTTTACAAATTATATAATATTTGATTATGATAGATATAATTATAAAATATTCTAATTACAATTTTATTGTATATAATTTATTTTTTAATAAAAAATAAATATATTTAATTTATATTCTTTAAATTAGTATTCAATCACAATCATATTTGGATTTTGAATCCTTTGAAATTCTCCTCTAAAATAGAGAAAATGAAATTTGATCTATATAGAACAAAAATTTGTTTTTTCTATTATTTAAATTCAAGGAGTTTTCACTGTTATTTTGAACGTATATTATGATGATAAAGAAGAAAATACAAATATCATAATTAAAAGAAAAAGTCTTCATTGTGAAACAAAATAAAAATGCATCTATAGATTCTTAATACTTATAGAGATATATAGATTATTGATATTAAAGTTATAAATTATATGACATTTACTATAGAAAAGTCGTCTAAATTAAACCATCTATATAATTTTTTTTTGTCATTAAATCTTATTAGCACTTTAAATATTGATTCTGTCTTGGTTGATCATTCTTTAGATTTTAAAATTTTATTTGTTCCCCGACTAATAATTGATTTATTTTGTGTGGTAATTTTTTGCCTAAATCTTTTTTAAAAACATCTAAACAAAACAAATAATTGATTATAATATTAGGAGAGGAAGCTTGTGTTATATAAATTTGATGTAAAAATATGATGAATCATAACAAAATTTAACTTTGATAACTTAAGGGAAAACTAAAAAATTTGAAATTTGGTTGTGGTATCTACACCTCGATCATGCCTCATTTGAGTATTTAAAAAATTTATTTCCTATTTTATTTAAAGAACACAATGTTTCTAGTTTTTATTATTATGTTTGTGAACTTGTAAAAAGCCATATAACTTAGTCTTCATTAAATTTAAATAAAAGTCCTCAATTTTTTATGGTGATACATTCTGATGCATAAGATTCATCCGAAATTCAAACTTTAGGTAAATTTCATTGATTTGTTATGTTTATTAATAATTGTTTAAGAATGATTTGATTGTACTTAATGAAATAAAAAAAATGAGGTAAGTTTACTATTTAAAAGGTTTCATAAAATGATAAGAAATCAATATAATACTCAAATTCAAGTTTTACAAAGTGATAAAGGTGGTAAGTATAAAACTTGTGAACTCCAACAATATTAAAAAGTTAATGACATTATTAATTAAACGACATTATTAATCAACTCAACAAAATGAGGTTGTTGAGAGAAAAAAATTGACATTTATTAAGTTCTTTGTGTTTCATTGAATGAGATGCACATGTCATTGTGTTATTAGAAAGAAACTTTTACTTTAGTATTATATTTAATAAATAGGATTTCCTCAAGTTTGATTGAGTTTCAGACTCCTTTTAAAACCTTTAATAATTTAATTGTCACTTTAATAGTTTATAATTTTCCCTCTCAATGTATTTGAATGTCTTGCATTTGTTTATCTTCATAAGCATAAATATAACAAGTTGACCCTATGAGTCATTCAATATGTTCTTATAAGATATGTTATGTATATAAAAGGATATAGGTGTTTCAATCCTCCTACTCATCATATGTATATAACAATAAATGCGATTTTCTATGAATACACAATATATTTTTTCATAGTCTAATTTTTAGGGAAAGGACTAACAAAAAATCTAGGAAATCCAAATTCTAGAGTATAATATGGATCTAAGGGATGAAATTTCATATCATCACCCTTTAGGAGATGAAGAAGCTAACATTGAAGCATTACAAAAATATCTTATTAGAGATAACATTTCAGCATAACCTCTTCCTAGAGATAACATTGAAGTTTCACATGAGTATCTTATTAGAAATAAAATTGAAGTCCAACATGAACCTCTTAATGGAAATAATATTAAAGTGTCACATGAACCTTTAAATGAAGATAATATTGAAGCATCACATGAACCTCATAATGAAAATATTACAAATTATTTGTTGACCAAAAAACAATTGTCAAATCATTTTACTAGAGGTATTTTTAAACTTACTTATGAATTAGTACTCTCTAGTAGAGTTAAATATTTTGTAAGTGAAATTCAAGTGAGAAAGAAATGAGAATCCAAGTGAGTTGAAATCCCACATTGAGTAGAAATGGAAACGTTGAGTAACTTATAAGTTAATGTCTTAAGATTATGAGTTAAAGGTGATGTCATATTCTTTTATATAGTTGACTCATGGTCCTTTATGTAAAATAAAGTAAGGTACAGAATTTTAAGAAGATAAGGTGCAGAATTTTAAGCAATAAAGTAAGCAAACCCAAGAAATATTCCCACTAGACATTAAGATAGTTGCCTATCTAGATGTGAAGGTTCATTTCCAAGGATTATGGAGGGAGGAAGAGATGGAATGAAACTAGAAAAAGATAAAGATAAGGGTTGGAAAAATGGACCAGCCCCTTGGATAAAAAAATGAAGTGAAGAAATAAAGAAGAAAAAATGAAGAGAAGATAAGTGTGGTGGTGGTGGAGTGTTGACACGCCATTAGGGGATGAACCACCCTAGATAAGTGGTGATTGCCGCCACTTGAACCAAGGTTTAAGATAAGATACTCAAATAGATGAAAAACTCTAAGAAACCTCACAAACTTGTCATAAATGTTCAACCTAATTACATGAGGGGAAGCCTTTTATTTATAGGCTTTTGGAGGAGGGACAAAGATGGAATTACAAAAGGAGACATAAACTTAACCTAAACCTAAAGGCTAGAGTCCCCATGGTCCAAATAAGTAAAATTCGTCCTAGCCTACCAAAAATCCGGCATCCTAAGCTTCTTCCTCTCCAAAAAGGGGTGTAGGACATGAAAAAGGAGTGTCTTACACCTTTGGGCTGCCCACACATGTATCCTATGTATCCAAACCATCTTCTCCAACAAAAAGAGGTGGTATTCTTAAAAAAGGAGGTGCAAAAAGTAAGCCTACAAAAGGAAAGCGAAAATAAGTAAAAGAAAAGAAAATACTTAGTAAATTAAAAATGGAGGGTGAGGAGGAAGTCTCCCTTTTAGTCATGCTTCTAGTGATCCTCCTAGCGATGACCTCTTCCGTCTCCGGGGCAACTAGGGTCTCATCATCCTCCTCTCCTTGGAGAGAATTCGTTCATGAATTTTCAAAACCTCTTTAATTCCCTTGTCTTTCTTTTCTTTCTTCTCTCTCCTTTTTTTTGCACTTTTTTCTTATTTTCCATTCATCTCTCTTTTTAATATCTGATTATGACTGCTCTTCAAATCATTCTTGGAAATATGGTAGCACCTTTTATCTCACCAAGCAAGTCATCAAGAGAAGCTTCCATAGACACAACATCGCAAAGAACCTCGTCCTTGTATTTCCTTATTGCAAAGCTAATGAAGACTTGTTTATTTACCTCAATCGCACCTTCCTCACTAAGCCAAGAAAACTTGTAAGGCTTTAACATGAGGAGTTGTAGGTAGATCAAGCTTGTCTACTACCCTCGTGCTAGCCATGTTCACACAAATTCCTCCATTAATGATTAATGAACACAACTTGTTATTAATGAGGAAGTGAGAATGAAAAATGTTTTCTCTTTGGGATTTGTCAAGGTCCTTTTGGAGTTTACCTGACATCCGCCTCACTATTAATAAATCACTTTCACAAGACTGATCTCTTCATCACTAGAGGAAGAGTGCTCAGAGGAATTCTCTCTAGATGGGGAGGGGAAAGAAGAATGCTCACTCACGATGTCTCCGCTTGTGCTCAAAATCATAGTTCTTTTGGTAGGACAATTAGAAGCAATGTGCCTATACCCTAAGCATTTAAAACATTTAATTGAACTATTCCTTTGAGGAGCGACAACGTTAGGAGTGGGGTTCCTAGACGTTTTGCCCTTAGGGGGTGGCTCTTGGAGTGACTTGGAAGGGTTTTTATCATATTTTTTCATACTCTTGCCCTTCCAAGAAGAACTATAGTAGTAATTGTTTGCATAACTCCTCCTTGCCTCATCCTTTCTTTTCAATTGAGCTTCAATTTTTAAGGCAAGGTGCAAAAAATTTTCAATAGAGGAGTATTCATACAATTCTACTAAGTCTTGGATGTCTCTCTTCAAACCACTAACAAACCTAGCTACCTTAGAATCATTGGTTTCATCATGCATACAGGCCTTAGGGCAAAGATTCTAGCATCTTAAAGTAATTATTCACACACATGTTTCTCTAATGAAGTCGTTGGAGCTTCAACAGGAGCTCCCTCCTATAGTAGGAAGGAACGAATCTAGCGCGCATTAAAATTTTAATGTCCATCCAAGAAGCCACGAGTGACCCTTGGTAATTATCGTTACAGACCATGTCATGGCATATCCTTCAAATTTAACTACCACTAAGTCTACTTGTTCTTGGTCCCCTATTGGGT